TTCTTTTCCGCCATGTTGAATCCGCCATTTTGAATTTTAAAAATTTGATATCTAATTTGTGATCAGCAACACAAAATACATTTTTGTTTGTCTTTTTTAAAAAATGCAAATGAGAAAACATTTAAATTATTCGATTGCTTATCCGCATACAAAAGCATCTTTGACATTAGAATTTTTGTAGAATTTTAATTATAAACAGGACAATAATTTCTCAAAAAATTCAATGAGTCCAAAAAGTAAATATTCATAAATTTTCATTTACATTGGGGTAAGGCCATTTTGAATTTAATTTTAATTAAAATTTTCAAAATTATGTATTAAATGATTAATAAATAAAGCATTAAGGGGACATTCACGTTCAAAATAAAAAAAAATCGATTTTTTTATTTTTTTATTTTCGTGTTCCTTATACAGAACGATAACCTACCACGTCAGTCATATCCCATGAGTGGGAGTGAGACAGACTTATGCGATTCCCATACTTTCCTATGACTGACAGATAGGTTTTCTTACTAGTCTGAAGTATACTCTCCTTAAATGATTGCAAAATTCAAAATGGCGGATCCAATATGGCGACCAAAAATGGCGTAAAATTTAAAATTTTCGTTATATTGACATCAATTTTTTATTTTTGACATCAAATTCGAATTCAGCGACCTCGAAAATCCCTCAGAAACGAATTTCGACCGACTCGCATCAGTCTTGACATTATCCGCCATATTGAATCCGCCATTTTGAATTTCGAAAAATCGATATCGGATTCGTAATCAGCGACCTCGAAAACCCCCAAGTAACAATTTTCAAGCCAATCGGGTAATTATTTAAAAAAATCGTTCGCCATATTGAATCCGCCATTTTGAATTTCGAAAAATCGATATCGGATTCGTAATCAGCGACCTCGAAAACCCCCGAGTAACGATTTTCTAGCAAAATAACTTGATTTTTTCGATTTAACTTGAGGTATATGTGCTAACTTATCTAACCAAAACTTTAAGAGTGTTTTTCTCAAAATATACTTTTTTGAACTGGTAAAAGTGATAGCTCGAGTTCTACTGAACCAATTTTGAAAAACCAAACTGCTTTTGATTCATTATCATCATGGCTAGGGGTGGAACTTCAAAAACTGGAAAATCTGCGGCTCCTTTTTTTCCATAAGAAAAATTCTGAATAAAAACATGTGTTTTTTTCATGTTTTGGGGAAAAAGTGCCCTAAAAAAAGAAGGGGAGGGAAATTTTACTTTTTTGAGGTTCCACCCCTGGAGAAATATCTAACGAAGAGAATGTCGTTTATTTCATGTCTCTATCTGTTTTAGAACTCTTGGAATCGTTTTCACCAGGGGAAATAGACATTTTTGAAAATGTCATGTATAGCCTCCATCTTGGACTAAAAGTGAAAAAAAAAAATTTTTTGTTCTTAAAAAAATTGTTTATAATATGTAAAAAAAATTATAAATAAATGTGGTAATTTTTTTTAATTAAATCCCAAAAAAGACGAATTTTTCCCTGTTTTAAACTGGAATGTCCCCTTAAATAACAAATTGAAACCAATTCAACGCATGTAACGCGGCAGTGTAACCGCCCGCGAAACTGCACTCTCCATGTTTTTTTTACAGCGCGTAACAGGCTTAAAAAACCATCGGTACACTTCAGAAAGCCTTACCCATTGTTCGAAGATAATTGAATCTTAAATAATTATACGAATTAGTTTTTTAAAATAGTTGCGATTATCCACAACTGGAGGCGGGGTGGGAGTCAAAAATTGATGAAAAATTGTCCATTTGGTTTATGGAACAACGATAAAATTTATACCTCTCACTCATACCTCGTTCTCGATCTCCCTTTCTTTTACTCCTTAATCTATCTGTGAGTGAAAAAAAAAATTAGCCAATAAGGAAATAAGACGCCCATTTCGTATTTTGGCTTGAAAGTAAAATTCCCCACTTTTCCTTCCCCTATCAAATTCTGTTTCTCTCTTTTTACCTGACACGGAAAATGAAGAAAACATGATACCCCCTTCTAAACCTAAAAAGTGGGCATTACTTTCTTAACTATTCGTCTCTCTTTCGCTCCTACTCTAAACTAAAAGGAGAGACAATACCTCCTTCCCTCTCTTTCTCTCTCACTGTGAACAGAATATATAAGGAAAGACTAACTTAATATATATAGATATAATAATAATATTCGCCTCTCTTTCGCTCCTACTCTAAACTAAAAGGACAGGCGATACTTCCCTCTCTTTCTCTCTATCAACCTTTCTCTCTCACTGCGGACAGAATATACAGGCTCTGGACAGACTGAATGGAAGAATTCGAAGATTATTATAATTAATTTTTAATTTTGTACAACGATAGTTTATTAATTTGAATCTACTGTAGGTAGGTACCAGGTGCGAATTTGGGTTGGCCGCCAGAGTTTTAAGGTTGGCCTAACTTTGGCAAGCGAAGTTTTGATTGCCAGAGTTTGCCCAACTTTGACAAGTAGGGGAGAGTGGTCAAGGTTGGATAGGTGGTCAAAGTTGGATAATCACGCTTATTTCGTTTTATCACATAGCGACACCAACTTTTTTACAATGTTTAGCAAAAACATTGCATTTTAGTAGAACTTTCCAATAATATAAGAGGAAATCGTCAAATTCGGTAGACAGGAGAAGTTATAGAAAACAGTCAGAACCTGATCCAACCTTAACTACTCTGTTTTGCCACGGATTAATAATCTTAATTTCGATTCTAACTAAGTTGTGAATTCAGTCAGTTTGTCAATACAAAGTTAAAACATGGGAAACTTGACACGCCAAATTGTTCTTTGCGTCAATAGTTTAAATACGGAAAGAAATCAATGTAGAATTTTTGAATTAATATGACTATTTATTTAATATAACTTTTCTTTATACATTTCGTTGAAATCAATTAAAAACGTGAATGAAAATTGGGGAGATGTTACAATTTTCGTGGTTCTGTTAAGACTAATTTCTAAACAGGCGGAAAAATTTAGTGTGTATTGCCAAATTTTGGATGGGAGGATTTTAGCAAATATGAATTGGAAGGGAAAGTTGGTGATTGGTAAATTAACGAAAGAGTAAGGGAAAAAGGGCGGACCATTTAATGAGAGGAAAAAGTGTCTCAGGAACTCATGTCTCTCAGGTACAGAGGATCAAGGGTTTGGTTGATGATGGTCAGGTATTGACGTAGTTACTATGAATTTGTTATTTTTGTAGTGCAATAAAAATTTGTGTATTTTAGTTCTTATGTTATAATACAGCAATCGAGAAAAAACCGTCTGTAGTGTAACAATGAATCTTCATAAATCTTTGAGAATGAATAATACTAAAAATGAATGATACTATACTTTGAGAAAAAGTAGAAAGTCTGTTGAAGATTATTCAATAAGTTTCAAAAGGCTGGGGAAAACCACTTTTAGTTTTGTTATTTTAAGCTTTTAGTTTGAATTTACCTCTGATCCATAAATACCAAAATTATAATATATAAAAAATAATATTTAGTTTACTTTAATGAATCGACACGCAACATGCTCCCCCGTTGAGAGTAATTACGATCAATAATTATTGATAAACTGTTTGAATAAGGTTTAGAAACATTAACGATCGTTGTATTAAATTATAAATGTTACTGTACCTCTTCCCTTTTTTTTAAATTCATTCTGTAGGTAAAAGGCACAGTTTTTTAACGTTGCGTTCGACGATTGTGTTCCGTTGAAGATCTCCACGTACTGTGCAGGTCTTCACTTTGACTCTTCTAATGATGTTATCATCAGCTGGATACACTTCTAAAATGCGACTTATCCGCCACTGCAATGGAGGTAGATTATCTTATCGAAGTAAAACCAAGGATCCTTCCTTGATCATGTGATTTCCATCGGTCCATTTGCTTCGAATCTGGAGTTCACTTAGATATTCTTTATGCCACCTGGACCAAAATTCTTGTTTAAGTTTTTCAAAATGTTCCCAATATGATAATTTATTGCTTGGTGTGTGCAAAAAATCTGGAGCTGGAAGGTCTCGACTTGAAATTCCATGGAGAAAGTGGGCTGGAGTAAGCACACCTAAGTCATTCGGGTCCGATGACAGTAGAGTCAGAGGTCTGGAATTTAAAATACCTTCAATCTTGATGCAGAGGGTATTTAATTGTTGATGAGTTAGAAGTTCATTCCCAATGACTCTTCTCAGATGATGCTTGAATGATTTCACTGCCGCTTCCCAGAGAACACCACAATGAGGAGCATGTGGAGGTATGAGCTGGAAGGTCTCGACTTGAAATTCCATGGAGAAAGTGGGCTGGAGTAAGCACACCTAAGTCATTCGGGTCCGATGACAGTAGAGTCAGAGGTCTGGAATTTAAAATACCTTCAATCTTGATGCAGAGGGTATTTAATTGTTGATGAGTTAGAAGTTCATTCCCAATGACTCTTCTCAGATGATGCTTGAATGATTTCACTGCCGCTTCCCAGAGACCACGACAATGAGGAGCATGTGGAGGTATGAAATTCCACTGAATCCCTTGCTGAACTAGATGATGTTGAACCTTTTGTTGATGATCTTGTGTATCCAATAAGTTATATAGTTCTTGCAGCTCGTTGTTAGCTTCAACAAAATTGGTATCGTTGTCTGAATGCATAGAATTGCAAGCAGGGTGTCGTGAAATGAATCTGCTCAATGCAGCAAGAAATTCTTTTGTTGTGAGGTCATCAACAACCTCAATGTGCACTGCCTTGGTTGTAAAGCAGACAAAAATAGAGATCCAGACCTTGACCTTGGCACGATTCCTGTGTTTCTTCTCCTTGATGAAAAGTGGTCCACAGTAGTCGATTCCAGTGCTTTGAAAAGGCTTGGATTGTGTAACTCGTTCAGCTGGAAGATCTCCCATGAGATAGTTCACTGGCGGCGGCTTAAATCGGACACAGGTGATACACTTATTGATAATGAGACGTATTTGTCGACGTCTATCAATAGGCCAGAATTTTCTTCTCAGAAGATGGAGTGTTGACTAACAGCCAGCATGGAAATTGTCGAGATGAGTAGCTGTGATGAACAAGCGAGTGGTGTGATGAAATGGTGGCAACACAATTGGATGTCTCTCATCAAAGCTAATTGTTTTTGCTTTCTCAACTCGCCCTCCAACTCGAATCAATCCATTATCATCGATGAATGGATTAAGATGCTGTAGTTTGCTACATTTTGACACAAACTCCCCTGCTTCCAGGCGTTTAAATTCTTCAGAAAATGTGGCTCGTTGAGTGAGCAACAGAATCCGTGTGGTTGCAGCATCCAGTTCATTCACTGTTAGAAATCGGCTGAAAATTCTAATTTGACCAAGTTGTTGATGATCAGCAGTCCGTCTTCTTTTGCAGATAGTTATCCAGCGTAATACCAAAGCCACAAATCTGCGCAGCTTGTGATAACAGGAAAATCTAGACAATAGAAAATTCTCAGATGTTGGTACCTTTGTAGATGATTGAGATGACCTTGGTTTTGTAGACGAGGTCAAGCATACAGTTTTCTTGACGTCAGGAACTTCAGCAGCTACCTCAATAGGTGTGTAAGGCCAAGTGTTTTCTCCCCCGGTGATCCACTCAGGTCCATTTCTCCATAACAAATTTTTCGTGAAATCTATTGGCAATTGTCCTCTGGAAATAGCATCTGCTGGATTGTCATGAGTGCGAATGTGTCTCCACTGTTGTGTTTCAGTTCGTTGTTGGATTTTTGACACACGATTAGCAACGAAGGTTTAAAGCATGTGTGGTGATTTATGGATCCATTGGAGTGCAATCATGGAGTCAGTCCAGAAAAGTACTTTGTCAGGGTTGATGTCAGTTGCTTTTTTTAAAGATGTATAGATGTCAGTCAATAATTCGGCAGCACATAACTCCAGACGTGGAGCTGACGTCTGTGAGCTTTTTAAGGGAGTTATTCTTGACTTGGCAAACCAGAGTTGAACGTTCTTGTTTCCATCCATGTCCACAGTAAGTAGATAGATACACGCTCCATAAGCTCGTTCACTCGCATCAGAAAATCCATGAAGTTCGATGTGTTTAGCATTTAAAACACTTACATGTCGTTGAAAACTTAAATCATTCAGAAGAGTCAGTTGAGAAACGAAATCTTGCCATTTTGTGCAAATTTCTTGTGGCACTGAATCATCCCAATCTAATTTTAATCTCCATAGTTCCTGCTGAATGATTTTACCATGAGCAATCACGGGATTCAACAATCCCAGAGGATCAAAAATGCGAGCGATATCAGAAGCTATTGTTCGCATCGTGATTACGTCCTTTGTAGCTATAGGGTTGACTGTGTAGACGATGACATCATTTTTAGAATCCTAATGTATTCCTAGAGCTTTCAATAGGGAATCGTCTCCCCCGAGTAGTTTGATGTTGATCGAACAATCCGGTTGTCATTGAAGCACAGATGGAGAGTTTGATGCACACTGGCGAAGATTGAAACCACCTTGTCGTAATAGATCAATCATTTGATCTCGGATGTCCATGATTTCTTGAAGAGAATCAGCACCAGTTAATAAATCATCCACATAAAGATCTTGCTTCAAAATCTTGGAAGCAAGCGGATAATTTATCTTCTCGTCATCTGCTAGTTGATGAAGACAACGAATTGCTAGATAAGGAGCTGGAGATAGACCAAAAGTAACAGTCTGAAGTTCATACACGGTTGGTTCCTCTTCTGTTGAATGGTCTCTCCAGAAGATTCGCTGGAATTTTCTATCTTCAGGTCGTACCAGAATTTGCCGATACATTTTCTCGATGTCACCAGTCAACACGTACTTGGGAAGTCTGAAGCGTAGATGGAGAGCGATGATGTCGTCTTGAATTGTTGGTCCAATCAAAAGGATGTCGTTAAGACTACATCCGTTGCTAGTTTTGGTAGATCCATCGAAGACAGGTCGTACTACGTTGGTCATGCTGGACATCTTGATCACAGCGTGATGTGGAAGATAGAAGCCTTCTTCAACTTCATTCTCTAGCTTCTTCATATGTCCTAGTTGTTTGTATTCCTCGATGACCTTGCAATATTCTTTCCACAGATTAACAATGGATTTGAGTCACCTTTCTAGAGCTAGAAATCGACGTAGAGCTTGACTGCGTGAAGAACCGAGTTGATTTTTCAGTTCATTGAACGGTAATGCGACCATATACCGTCCTTCCGAGGTCCGAGAAACATGATCAACAAAGTGCCTTTCACATGCTTATTCGGTAGGAGACAGGTGTTTTTGACTGGATATTCCATCTTTAATTTCCCAAAATCTTTTTAATTCGTTGATAATGCTGGTAGTGGTATGGCATTGAGATTTTTCACAATGAGTATTATGAATATTTCCACAAATCGTCCATCCTAACATAGTGTTCTGTGCGATGAGATTAGAAGTGTCAGAAATTTTGAGTTGTCCGACAGCAAGTGTAGAGATTGAAGATCCAGATCCTAAAAGCAATTGAACAGGTGCAGATTTGTGAAATTCTGAATCCGCAAGTTGTAGACGAATTGAGTGAGGCACCTGAAAGGACTTTCTATCCAGTTGTTGACCTGGAATCGATGACGAAATTGCCGGTATGGCTAGAAAATTGAGTGTCCTTTCAAAATTATTGTATCGAGAACGAATAGTTGCAGTCACATAATAGTTCGAGACTGTAGAGAGGTCATTAAGGGCACCCACCGATACTGAGCACTTAATTTTCTCCAGCTGAAGTTGATCAGCTAGTTCCGTGGTGATGAAATTTGTAGATGATCCCGTGTCAAGCAGCGTCCGGCATGGAATGAGTTGATGAGAATCATTGAGAATATGTATTACTGCTGTGGGAAGAATATCATCACCTGGGAAATCTACGTTGAGCGTGATTTGTTGAATCGATTTAGAAGATGCCCTTGTTAATAGTCAATCAGATGGGATAGTAGAAGAAGATGATACTGCAGGTTTTGTGCTGATATTCTCTTGATAGCGATGTAGGAATGTGTGATGCTTACCTCCACAGATAGAGCAATTTCTGGATTGACATGTTTGTAAACCATGTCCGAGACCCAAACAGTTGATGCAGCGGCTCTGATTGTACACCAGCTTAAGTCGTTTTTCTTGATTCATTTCTTGAAACTTAGGACATCTGTAGATTGAATGGTCGGCTTGACATACAAGGCATTTCTTTTGTACACTGAGATGAAAACTATGTGTTGCATTTCTGGAGCTATTGGTTGCTTGATGTTGCTTATTCTTGTCCTTGTTCCTCATGTCAGATTTCCTGTAGTCCTTTTTTTTGTATTATTATTATTATTGGGTCAGAATTCGTGAAATTTTCACAGAAAATAAAAAGTATTTTTTTTAAATCGAAATGTTGAAAAAACATTTCTATTTGGCCTTAAGAATGTGTCCACCAAAAAACAGGAAAAAAAATTATTTTTTATAAAAGTTATTGCAAAATTATTTTTTTAGCAACTTTTTAAACAAAATTTTATTTCTCCTAAATGAATGAACCGATTTAAATGAACCAAGCTGGAATATTAAGGGGATAAAATATACTTTCGTTTAGAATTAGAAAATTTTTAAAAAGTTTATTTTTTAATAATTATTTAATAAATTTTTTATAAACAATTAATTTTTTTTAATGTTCTGCGCCTTTTAAAAATTTAAAAAAAATATAAACATACACTTAAAACTATAAGAAATCAAAATTCGTTGAGAAAATTTTGGAGCGACAATTATTTTAAAAGTTATAAACAAATTATATTGAACGGAGATGCGATTTTGATGATTTTCAGAATTAAAACATTATTTTTAACTACGAAATGAACAAAACACTGTCAAATTAACATTTTTATTTAATTATATAACCATAAAAATTGATAAAAATGATCAAAAACTAAGTTCAGCGTTGATGCACAACACCGCGCCAATATAATTTGTTTATAACTTTTAAAATAATTGTCGCTCCAAAATTTTCTCAACGGATTTTGATTTCTTATAGTTTTAAGTGTATGTTAATATTTTTTTCAAATTTTTAAAAGGCGCAGAACATTAAAAAAAATTAATTGTTTATAAAAAATTTATTAAATAATTATTAAAAAATAAACTTTTTAAAAATTTTCTAATTCTAAACGAAAGTAGATTTTATCCCCTTGATATTCCCGCTTGGTTCATTTAAATCGGTTCATTCATTTAGGAGAAATAAAATTTTGTTTAAAAAGTTGCTAAAAAATTAATTTTGCAATAACTTTTATAAAAAATAATTTTTTTTCCTGTTTTTTGGTGGACACATTCTTAAGGTCAAATAGAAATGTTTTTTTAACATTTCGATTTAAAAAAAATACTTTTTATTTTCTGTGAAAATTTCACGAATTCTGACCCTATTTGTATTATTTTTTGCAGAAAATCTAATTATTTTTCCACATCTGGCATCTTATTGTCTTCTAAACTATTTTACCATTGAAAAGCTACGTCGTCACTGATAAGACTAAGGACTATGGTAACTAGGAATGCATTATATTGTTCATCCTTTGTTCCAAGATTATCTAATGGTCGGAGTTGGGCACGCACAGAATTCACTATGTCGATAAGAGTACGCGGCAAATCCTTTTCAGAGATGCCATTGGGCGGAGGAATTTCATCCCCACTCTTGCACCATTTTACATTTAAGTCAATGTAAAATGGCGCAAGAGTGGGGATGAAATTCCTCCGCCCAATGGCATCTCTGATCCTTTTTCTTGTACAAGCTCATTAACAGTGAGCAATGTCGTCGTAGAATCAGTCGTGGGTTATTGTAAGTATCTTGTAACAACTTCCAGGCAATTTCATAATTTTCTCCGTTGGTTTCTAATTCACTGATAAGATCTGCAGGTTCTCCGTTAAGACAAGACTTCAAATAATGGAACTTGGTTACATTATGTAATTTTTTATTCTGATGAATGACAGCCTGGTACTCATCGTGAAAGCGGCGGAAATTCTCAAAACTTCCATCAAAGGTCGGTAGTGCGACTTCTGGAAGCTTGGCTGAGGCTCCTCCGTCATGGTTGTTGACATTTGAGGAATTGATGTGACGATTCGTTGATGTGAGTTGAGAAGATGATAATATCCTCTGATTAAGTAAGCGTTTTAATTCTCCAGCGATGTTGAAATAAGTGTTGGTGATTGTATCGGCTTCTTTTTCGTGATCCTCTTCATGTTCTGTATCAAGAGCTAGCAGCTGTGCCTGGTCTGCTTCCCAGTCAGAAAATTTGGCCACAAAATCCGTGAGCTTTAAGTCCAAAGTTTCTGATAAAACATCTTTCGATTCCTCACTCTTCAGCCAATTACTAGTTCTTGTCAACTTCGACTTGAACGTTTTCCGTTTAGTTTTCAAACTGTCGATGTTTCCTGGCATGATTGCTACGTTGTCCTTTTTATGCTGTTGGAATCTTGAAACAAGGCACTTCTGGGAGAATGACGTACACTCACTGAAAACGTATCACAATTACACTGTGCCCTACAGCACTTTAAAAAAATTAAAAAATGTCACAAGAAGATTGAAATATTAGAGTCACCAAAGATACACTGAAGTATTACTGTTATACTATCGAAATAACACTGAAATGCCCACGCACTTGACAGTTATTTCACGAATATTACTGTTTTAAAAACCGATACAACACTGAAGTATCCACACACTTGACAGTTATTACACAAAATTCACTGTTTTTAAAAAAAGAATTTACTAAAGAATCCGGCTCGAAGGACCAAAAATGTTTTGCCACGGATTAATAATCTTAATTTCGATTCTAACTAAGTTGTAAATTCAGTCAGTTTGTCAATACAAAGTTAAAACATGGAAAACTTGACACGCCAAATTGTTCTTTGTGTCAATAGTTTAAATACGGAAAGAAATCAATGTAGAATTTTTGAATTAATATGACTATTTATTTAATATAACTTTTCTTTATACATTTCGTTGAAATCAATTAAAAACGTGAATGAAAATTGGGGAGATGTTACAATTTTCGTGGTTCGGTTAAGACTAATTTCTAAACAGGCGGAAAAATTTAGTGTGTATTGCCAAATTTTGGATGGGAGGATTTTAGCAAATATGAATTGGAAGGGAAAGTTGGTGATTGGTAAATTAACGAAAGAGTAAAGGAAAAAGGGCGGACCATTTAATGAGAGGAAAAAGTGTCTCAGGAACTCATGTCTCTCAGGTACAGAGGATCAAGGGTTTGGTTGATGATGGTCAGGTATTGACGTAGTTACTATGAATTTGTTATTTTTGTAGTGCAATAAAAATTTGTCTATTTTAGTTCTTATGTTATAATACAGCAATCGAGAAAAAACCGTCTGTAGTGTAACAATGAATCTTCATAAATCTTTGAGAATGAATAATACTAAAAATGAATGATACTATACTTTGAGAAAAAGTAGAAAGTCTGTTGAAGATTATTCAATAAGTTTCAAAAGGCTGGGGAAAACCACTTTTAGTTTTGTTATCTTAAGCTTTAAGTTTGAATTTACCTCTGATCCATAAATATCAAAATTATAATATATAAAAAATAATATTTAGTTTACTTTAATGAATCGACACGCAACAACTCTCCCTTACTAGTGCCCACAGTTTGCCCAACTTTGCAAGCCCACCATTACATGCAGAATTTAACCTACCGTCGGGCTAACTTTGGATACAAAGGTTGGCACAACTCATCGAAACGTAGTTTAAAAGACTTTCAGCTTCGGTTGGCCTGACGGTTGTCAAATCTCTGTGAAACGCAGTTTAATTGACTTACATTTTTTTGGTCGGCCGAATTCTGGACCACGGTTGGCAAAACTCTGTTAAACGCAGTTTAATTGGCTTATACTTTCTGGGTCGGCCAAACTCTGGGCCACGGTTGGCCCGACTGTTGCAGCTTTTATATATATTTAACGCTATATATTTCCATGTAAGCGTAGCATAGTAGTCAGTGTATAAGTCTTCGGTGCGTTAGGTTAGGGGTTCGATCCCAGCGAGCGTTAGATATTTTCGAAAATGTATGTATGAGATTGTGTTCAATAATAATAGGTAAAGGTTATATCTGATGTTCCCGCTAATATTACTATTCAGTAAATTACAACTAGTTCCATTTTACCGAACACTTCATCTTACATTTTACCGAACTTACAGTAAAAATAAGTATAGTGAACACAACGAATTGGAGTTAATTGGAGATAATAATAAAAAATTGTTAACGTAGTATCAGACGTTAACTATTAACATTATCACTTAAAATAATATTGTGAATGGTCTGTTCAGGGGACGGATACTTATACTTTGTGCGAGACAAGTCGTGCGCGAGAGATATAGTTCTAGCCATCTACCAGGGAGTTGGAGAATTATAAGAGAAACTTCTACTCAACTTCTATTACTTAAGGTATTTGTCGCGCGACTGGTCACTGTCAAAAGTTTGTATCCGTTGACTGTACTTATGAAACGATTATGAATGCGAGTTTCCAAAAAACTTCTGCCGACGTACAGTTTGACACACAGATGTTCTCAAAGTATATTCATAACCTCTCGCATGAAAAACGATCGTGGCAACGTCGCAAGTTTGGCGTATGGCCGTCTTTAAAATTTCGCGCCAAAAGTAGCAGACAAGCTGCAGTATTTAACAAGCGCTATTGCCACGTTTACAAATTCACCTGTCATTTACAGTAAATGTTAAAATAATTTTTCAAGTTTGATGTTAAATATCTTTTAAACAAGACGGTGAAAAATTTTCATTTTTTTTATAAAAGTTCATTTTGGTTCAATAAATAAAACTTTAGTTTTTCTAAAAAATCTGTCGATTAATATAAGTGCAAAAATTAAAAATCGTTGGTTTTCATATGGTTTTCCTATACCGTACATGTTAAAAATCGAAACTTTGATTTCATTTTTTGAGACTTACAGACTGTCAATTTTATTTTAATAGGCCTTATTTTGTAGATAAATATCCAAAGAATAATTATGTGAAATTTAAAAAACTTCTGTCGAAAACGAATTTACGCGACAAATACCTTAACCGATTCCTTGCTAGATGGCGAGAATTACATCTCTCGCCATTTGTGATTTTTTCGGTGAAAATTGTGACTTTAAACATTGATTTTAGGCCTTAAAATATGCTAACCTTGTTTCTCTATAATTTTCTTTTATTCCACATTTATGAAGCTTTTTTCGTAGAACAACTATTCATTTTCGTTAACTCCTTCAAGAGATATTATGTTTTGAACACATTTTCAGAAAAAGGCACACTGTGTGACGGTAGGCTTTTTGGACGTTCCATCTTTAAAATACTTGTACAATTTTCGTTAGAAATATTTGAAATCAGAAAACCAAATATTTTCTGTTAGTAGGTGAGTGTAGCTCGTGATTGATTGAAGGGTTTTTTAAAATATTGAAATCTGAATGTTTGATTTGAAAGGATTTCAAAGAATCTGTTGCTACGGGTCTGATTTTTTTGAAAAGTACTTAAATAAAAAAATGATTTATTTTTTAGAAAAGAAATAATTAAAAAACATGTTGCACGGACGTTTTGACCACTCTAAAATGTAGTAGCTCCAATAATAAACTTCAGTTTCTACTAACCATCAAATTAGTAGGAGTTCTTTGGGATTTCTCTCCAGTTTCATTTGATGATTAGGCCGACTTAATGACTGTTTTTCTCGAGACCAAAAATAAATTATAATATGTATAAAACATTATATCTAAGATTGAAAGTCCGTGGCTTGTGGCTGCGTGAATTATTTGTAATGAGAGAAGCATTTCGCCTTTACCGCAAATTTTGTCGCGGATTTTATATACTTGAACGTGTCTTCTTACAAATACACTTAAAAGTGGCCGTAGGGCGCACATCTCTTGTGGTAAGCACAAAGAAGTTTTTTATCGTTAGATACTTAGATTTACTCCTCTAAAGCTGTGAATTGTAAAATAATGCTATAAACTATTAAAAAACCTTATAAAGAAACTGTCTAAATAAATCATTAATTTAAATTTTAACTTTAGTAGATTTTTATAAAACTTTTGTTACTTCTGGGTTTTGAAATCTATAATTCGAAATTATAGTTTCTCAAGAGTAAAAATATAAATAATGAGTAAATATAGTAAATAATAATATATAAATAATATATTATAATTTTTTTATTCATGATTATTAACCGATGATATAGCTCGGTTAGCAGAATCCCGTGGCTTGTGATCACGGAGGATAAGCACCATTGAGTGCGGTTAGTACTCGGATAAGTGACCTCTGTGGGATGCTACAGTAGGTTCTTGCAGCGTTCCTCTCCGCTATCAGGTCCGAATGTCCAAGCAAATGCGAGTACTACTAATTCAAGTCGGCTGCATCCCCAAAAGTAGAGACCTTTAGTGTTGTAAGTTGGAAAAGTTGAGTAATGATGTTGAGGAGATTGTAAAAGCTGTAAGGAATACAATGAAAATCTTACTTTACTTTTTATTTATGATTATTATTTAAATAATAATGAGTTTATATAATAAATAATAATATGTAAATAATACATTATTATTTTTTTATATTTATGATTATTATTTAAATAATAGTGTCATTCTTTGCAGGTTGCAAACAATTCAAATTTTTAGTAATATCTAAACAAAAATTTCGTTTATTACAAGGAGGAAATTTATTCCTGATATTTTACTTAATTTAGTTTGGTAAAACTGGGATGAAAGACCAAGACAGTAATTTTTCAAGAGCTAGACTGAGAAAGCAATTTCATTAAATGATACTGGGAAAGGAATAAACCTTATGATACCCTGTTTTGAAATTGTGTAATGACCCTTTATAGATTCTACCTAGATATCCCCTTTATTAACTATGTCCTAGCTTTTAAGGGGGAGCGGGGCGTTATAGATATAGCTTCACGCAAAAAAATGTTTGGTTGGTTCAACAGAAAGTGCGTTTGCTGCAACCGAACTCTCTTGTTAAAATAGGACTGACCGTACACTCGGTTTTTAGTAACCAAACAAATTCGGTTGCATTTAGTTCGGTTGGATTAACCAAACTGACCGTTTCTGAAAACCAAACTCTATTTAAATGTGTTAATTTTTTTGTTTTTGAATTTTTAATTTAAAAATAGGTTAAAGTAATATGGTTATTAAAGCTACAAATAATATTTAAGGCGTTTTCTACTTTTTCTACATTACAAAAATTTTTAAAGGTATTAAAATAAAGAGATTTTTTAGAACACTAAAAAATATAAATTTAATAAAGGTTTAAAAATCTTAAGGCATGGGTAATTTTAGTTTTTTAATAATGTTCATTTTTGAAATATGTGATTTCCTCTAAAAACTAATCTAAACTCATTTTCACCAAGTTTCAATTCGAAAAAAAATTTTGTTTTTGAGTTAAACGATTTTTTTGAAAAATT